ACGCATAGGACCCAGAGACATAACGGGGACGACTTTGAAGTATGTGTCACGATCCTCGCACGCGAATCAAGAACACAGGCCTGAAAAACTCTCGAGGCACTCTGGATTAGTTCCAGAAATCCGGAAATGAACCGCAGGGAAGAATGCCTCATTATCACGCGTGATATAGGGCAGTATATAAAACTGCTTTTCTGATGTGAGGGGCACATTATACTTCCACGTGATTTCTGTGCGGTTGGTCTCTACGTGACATACTTAGTGGAGACCTCATAGAAAGCGGTGAGTGTGCAAAGCTGTGTTCAAAGTGATTGAAATCTTGGTTTGGAGTTTCTTTGTTTGGTTATGGAGGCGTCTGGCCGAGTTGCTATCAACTTGACCTTTCCAGGCTCTGAAGAAGGCGAAATTCGCCGAAACGTCAGCTTAATCGTGAACAAAGAATAATAACACCTCGCGTTTGCTCAGCAAAAGTGCGAACAAAATCACTTGATCAATGCCGAGGTTAGTAGAAAGTCGGTCGTGGCAGTTACTCTGGAAATAATTTTTCGATTCTGGAAGGACGGAACTATTGATTGTCTTAGGGCTTGGGTCGAACCAACTACCCCTTGCATATTGTAGAGAACTTGTAAACACTGTACTACACACATTTCGTCGCTATAAAATCCACCAGATACACTAGTAGATGCTTAGCAGATCTTCCTTAATGACATGCTCATTATCTTATTAAAAGAGTGTCATCGGTGTTGGAATGCGATGTGCAATAAGGACCCATTCCCATGCAGCGTTAGGCGAGTTTAAAACAAGCTCAGTATTCAAAATTCGGAAATCTAACCTGGTGTATACATATCCAACTGCAGAGGTTAGCGAGTTGTCTAGCACTATGTCTCATCAAAAATAGTGAGAATAAAGGGTTATATTCTTAGTGTAAATTCCTCTCGTTCCCTATTGAACGTAGTCCGCTGAGCAGCTCTGTACCCCGATGAAAAGAATAGCAGTTTATTGGTTTCCAGTCGACTCGCTCCATGGTTAAAAGGAGCAGTGGTTAAGGTGAAATAAGCTTGCGCATTTGAGGAAAATTAGAATAGCCAAGTACTCATCCTTTGTGTACTGAGAAACAGAAGTTGGAAAGCAAACAGCGTTAAACTCTTGCCATTAACAAAGAATTTCTTCTAGCAAAAGACGTCTACCTCTTCTTGCCGAAATATGCCAGAGAATTGGTGGCCGAGTTCAGGACAATCATACAGTCCGAAATTCTAACGAGAATTGAGAGTACGACTCCAAATGATTCGATCCCGTACAGATTTTCGTACACATCGAAAAACACCGGCATTGATCTGAAAACAGAAAAAATACTTCACACTTGAAGTGAGGCCAGATTTATAAAACTGTATTTTATAAGCTAGCTTGTTTCATCGTTTCAAAAATTTATCATGAGCAAACGGATTCTGAGGGTTTCGAGCAATACTTCTCTTCCTAAGAATGCGAACGGCCTGACGGGTATGTATTGGCCGCTAATTCGAATTCTTCGCTTCATCCCAACCCCAATAGTTTGCTGCCTCATCCACGGTGAGCATTTCTGGATTGGTGGTGTGATACCAAGAAACTTATGACAATGACAGAGGCACCCAAGTCATAAGTGTAGCCTAGTACCTGTTACGACCATTTGGGAACGACCTTGGACTGGTTCTTCAGGGTCTCCGCCAAAAAATCTTGCCTAATTAGCAATATACCAGTCAAATAAAAAACGTGGTGAAGCACACACCAATTTTCTTTAAGGCGGTTTATTAAAACGATCAGTAGCTAGTGGCTGAAGAACGTTTTCACCCATATTGAAACGAATACTAAGCAGAAAGCGGCAGCAGCAAGAAATTTATCATATACCTACTCAAAATCGTGAATGGTCCGCCATCACGAAGAATAGTCTAAGCCCAAGCATAATTTCCTTTTAGTTGATAGTTTGCTGGTTAAGCAAGATTCTATTTTCAAGCATCTGGAGATGCGATTGTGAGAACTCCCCATGAGCTCCCCACTCCTCCCCACAAACAGTTTTCCACTCGTATGGTTCACATATAAAATCGACTTCTTATAGATAGGTTACCACCAGCACGGAATGATTCTAGCGACTTGTTTACTTCTAGCTATGCTTCGAATAAAATTGTCGAATTCTCCTCTTTTTAGGAGTTCTTGAGAGGTCGTGCTGAAGATGAACTCTTAGTGTACATCAGTTCCATATCTAATAACACCTTTGCTATAGCGTAGTAACAAACCATTAGGAAGAGCTTATAAACAACAATAGCCCGAAAAAAGACGTCAACATCTTGATCAACCTTCCATTTAGCAGCGCCTATAGTTGGTTGACTAAAGGTGGATTTTCGTCATCTTTATTTCTCATAAAGGTGAAGCGTGTTTAAGCGCAAGCACAATAGGTGTGTGTAGCGTAGGGGTCAGCCGTTCTGCTACACATATGTGGTGTTGATTCGATCCCGCGCCTATGGTTCAGCAAGCCTTCCAGCCTCTAAGATCACCAAATTGGCAACAGACGCAATAGTAATGACTTCATACATCGCTTGGTCACAAGAAGCTATTATCTAGGCCTGATGTGCATCCAATCAAGTGTTTGAAGATGGCGAATGAATGGTGCAACCTGAAGTGATCAACGCTTAAGGTTTCTTCTTTACAATTTCATTTAAACACTGGCGAGTGATATGATTGAAATTCCAGTTACAAACTTACCTAAAGATTAGAAATTTCACAGCGATGAATATGGCAACTGTGCGGGACACCTTTTCTTTGGATTCCTCTATAAGCATCATCGATCGACTACGTTGTTGACTTTCAAAAAGTCTAAAGAGAGAAGAATTTTACTAACTGAAGCTAAACTGTCATTCGCACGACCGCAAGCCTATCATAGAACGCCTAAATTCAAACCAATCTGTGATGTTCACTGTTTTAGCTTGCTTTTATCCCAGACCAGTGATTCAGCAGATATCAAGCCAGAGTGCTTTTTTGTTACTAGGAATTTAGCAATGTAGGGTAATATAAGACCTAAAAAATACTGAAAAATGAAGGCTTTAAAGAGAAAATTCCTTTAGGAGATGTTTTCTAGAACTTCTACTGATTTGATGTAGACTGTTGTAAAAAACAACATTTCTCATAGAACGATTGCTTGGTTGCAATCCCGGCAACCAAGGTCGAGTTACACAGTGTAGTCAAATCGTCAGCGAAACACACTACGATAACTTGTTCATCGGTGTGTTTCCGAACAAGCTTTTCGAGACTTCGGACCCATTCGCTACTCTACCAAATTTACAAAAAAAAGTAATATGAATCTAACCACACAACTTAAGCGAATTGAGCAACACCATAAGTATCCTCTTATTTTTTTTAAGAACGATGACATCGTATGGTACTTACTTCCGTCGCCTCTTCAGGCTCCTATGAAGGCGATATTCTGTTAGTAAACTGAGCACCAGTATTGTAACTACTGGTCCGATTGTCTGCGTTAGCGTCATTAGAATAGCTTTGTAGTGAGCGAACTGAATGCAATTTTTCATCAAAAATCAAACATTAGCTGACAATACCTTTACGAAGAAATCAGCTAGGACATTAAAGAAAGAAAAAAAGAGAAGAAAGAAAAAATGCAAGAAAACTACAAAAAGATGCAGGAAAGAAGACTTGAAGAACCATGCAGTTTTGTTGATAAAAGTGAAATTCGGAAAACTCATTTCTCAGCATCGAACAGTTTTTTTCTTACTCATACATGATGGATGATGGAATATCACCCAATGAGGCACGAAATGTTAGAGCAAATCATCTGTATCCTTCAAGTGGTTCCAATAAGGTGAGCAAGACGGGCTAATAACGAGGCCTCAGTCAACTTAGGTGCAATTGGGATTTAACTTCACTTTCGTTCTAGTCAAATCGTTTACTGCTTAGTAATCTGGGCGAGTTATGCGATTTTCTACAAGGATGGCTCAAAACTCCGACCTAGTAAAAGGCTATAACAATTCAAGAACTGATTAAAGGGAGTTTATACATTAATTCCGAATAAGATATATTTTCCAAAGTTTGTGTAAAATAAACACAATAAGTATTAATATATTCACAGAAGCAAATGCTGAAAAATTTACTTGTCTACCAAGACGGCTTGGCTGAACACGAAAGTTTTTAAGTCTACATGGTTTTCTTCCTGATCGTTCGGTCGCTCAAGTGCCTGGTTCGCCTCAATCCCAAAGATAGTTCAACTATGACTAGTCATTCATTTTTTGTTTTTTTTTAGAACAGAACGGTGTTCGTGCAAAAACTCGGTTATCAGCCCACAGTCACTTTTCGAGCTTCTTTCGCGCGCATCCATGGCTCAACACGCTTCAGAAGGAGATCTTATCACAATTATGACTAATTACGTCAGTGGTTTATGGGGTGGAGATCACGTTCTTAAAGTTATGATATAGAAGCCAGCTTATTGCAGAGAATAGACGAATTCTACGGTATAGGTGCATCCATACGCTTCATATTACTGAGAAACTGCGGTAATCATTGGGTTTGCTCGCTTTTCTTGATGACTGCTGAACATTTTCCTCAGGCGTTCCTTAAAACATCTGCTCACCGAGTGTCTGAAGACGGTCGGAGCCGGGCAAGAGGCCTCGATACCATGTTCCGTGTCGAAACATCGTTCCACCGTAAATTCAAAATACACCGGAATGTTCACTGCGAAACAGAGAATTATAACCAAACCTGGAAAACGATCAAGATTGGTGTCGTCACCCAAATTTACTCTGACAACATTGAATTTGAATTGAGAGGGTAATGTAAAGAATTCATCGCTCGCTATTTGCTCAATTTACTTATACTGTTACACATTATGAGTCTAAGCTAAAAGAAGTGGCCAACACACCTGGTAGAAGACCCGATCGAAAGTATTTCCTTAGAGGAAGCTGCTCATTGGTAGCTTTCACAACAGGCCTGTTCTTTTGAAACGACCCCATACTTAACTCGACATCATTCATCGATGACGGTTTCCGTTGTTTTAAACTCTGAAACTACTTCGGTGAGATGTGGGAGTGTAGTCTATAGTAAGGTGGTAAGTATTACAATTTGATACCCTTTTTGAAATACAGATAGCAGTTCGCTACACGATCAATGACGAAATGAGCAATTAGAAGGTTATGGGCATGTTATAGCATTGGAGATAGTTATTTCATAAGTAGGATATACCTGCTAGTAGATCGAAACTTTCCTAAACATACACACGTCGACTTGACATTGAATCTTCATCAGTTACCCTAGGTGACTAAACATGCAACGGGTTCCATTTCTTGCCACAGTGAACTAGAAGTCTATGGAAATGCTGAAAACTGTCGGCGGAGGGCAGTTTAAAATGAAATCTATGCACTATATTCATTATCTCACTATCCATCACACGCGTTTTCTCGCAAAGAGGGAGTCTCTTTCTCATTACTCAGTCGTGACGAAAAAGCGGTCTTTGTCGGATTCTTTAATGAGTGTAGCAACAGAACGGAGAACCCCATAGCACTTGATGACTTACATTTTTAGAGAAGCAAGGCGCTTTGGCAGCACAACAAGTAACTTGCACCCGAAATGGTCGGAGATTGAAAATACAAAATTCTTGAACTGCTTTGCAGACGAAACGCCATGTTTGCGCAGTAATAGGTTTAAGCGTTTAAGCGTAATATTCAGAAAGGCCATTTCTATAGTAGTGAAGATTTCCTCTGGTGACATTTTTCGCAGTTATCCGTAGTTGGCATGGAAGCCTACCACTAATCGGATCTCCAAGAGGGCAATGATTTCACGGAAGTATTTAACGTTTTGACGCCCGAAGTTGGTTTTTCAACGATTGACGATAATTTCTTCGATAGGAGGATAATGAAAGAGTTAGGAACTGCATGGATTTATAGGACAGAATTTGCTCTAACGCCTTAAGGATATATATTTACATCTTTATATAGCCTTTGTAAAATATTTTCAATTATTAATTTAATTTCATCTAGAAATGGAAATGTAATCCAAAAAACTTGACGCTCAAATCGAGAGCTGTAGAGGCACTCGCAAGCATCGACAATAAATATGTTAAGGAAAATCATAGTGTTATACCTTTTTATTTTCTACCTACTATAATTTCGCGGCAGGGTACTAAACGAAATGCAGCCACAACGTTGCTGAGATATTTGCAAAACTCTGGACCGCATGTGTCTATGGTGGGGAAAATCCCGCCGACGGGTGATTGCTGTGGCAAAGATCGATAGAAATAGCTGAAAGATAGGCGAAACGAAGGGCCCGCATGGTGTAGTGGTGAACGCGTTACTCCCCGGAAAGGACAATAGCGTGTTCGTTCCCCACCATAGACACCTGCGGTCCAGAGTTTTGCAAATATCTCAGCAACGTTGTGGTTGAAAATCATAGTATCATAAAAAAGCTCTCGCCGTTGAACAATCCCTAAGGGATGCGCATGAATTCGACTTCATTAAGCATCGTTGAACGTGATTGAATGCATATCTGGCCTTTACAATGGCTCGAGGTGCCCACCGATGTATCGAACCAGTGCTGCTACCCTCCCAGACAAGTGTGGTGCTAATTTGCCGACCTCGGAGGGATAGAGGGCTTGGTGAGCCAGAGGCGCGGGAATCGATCTCATTTGTGTGTCGCAGGGCGCCTCCAACCACTGCGCCAAAGGAGACTCTGGTCGTATTATAGCATGAGAAATCTCACTCGTTGAACTATTTTCGTTTTCGAAATATAAACATAAACGAAAAAGGTTGGGAAAAAGTAGGACGTTTTGTGGGTTATAGAAGCTAATATTTCATCGTGATCAAACAACGTAGTTTGCTTTTAAATAATAAACATCCGCTTATCTGCCGGTTTTCACTTCAGCTAAAAAAGTTCGTTAAGTTATGAGATATTCTGTTCCAAATTGAAAAACAGCCATTATTTTGCACCAAATGCATTGTCTTCGATTCACGCCGACCGTTGTTTATTAACACAGGTCCAAAGCGAAAAGCGGTTATCACTCCGGCCGCACGAAAATAACGGCCGCATTCAACGTCGAAGCAACATATATCAACTCAGGAGGAACTTCATTTGTTGCAATAAAAATGCTCAAAATTGGATTTGCAGAACTTCGCATGCAAGATCAAAGCTCTCTTCACCATGATAAAACACTGAATTTCTCGAGTCCACTGAACGCCGCTCTACGAAAAGCAAGCTATCTTTCGTTCACTAAAACAAGATGAGTTCCGCAGATGCGTTGTTGGTGCTTGTGGAGGCCAGGATTTCACTTGATACTTTATTCTTTTCCATTTCACTTGAAAGTTTGACAAAATTTGGCGATCAAATAACAGCTTTAGAGAAGCACATTAACTCTTAAATACATAGAGCAAGGTCTCTTTTGTAAGTCAATCACGCTTGAAGATTCAACTAATAATATTTTCAAATTTGAATTGTTGCATCCACAATTATTTGTCGGAAAGAAGTCCCTCAACTTATATGAAAGCTTGAAGTCTTGCTAGAGTATTCATTTTTTGTTTGCTGCCTGCTACAGTTTTATTCGGCAGGGTATTATGCCAAATACAACCACAACGACGCTGAGATATTTGTTAAACTCTGTACCTCAGGTGTGTGCAGTGGGGAACGGACGCGCTACTACCCTTTCCGGGGACTAACGCGATCACCACCACACTATGCGGGTCCTTCGTTTAGCCTATCTCTTGCTAGAGTTTTCATCCGTTTGAAACTTCTCTTTATCAGTTTTTCTGCACTGTTTTAGAATATTTTAACGAAGTTCCATCATTGAAAATTAGGCATTTCGAAGTCCTATTAGACGTCGGTAGTGATTTGTACCGGAAAAGTGGCTGTTTAGATGCTGTGAAAATAAAAAGCCTAAAATTATTCATACTACACTCTACTTTCCGTGACTGACTCTCCATTAAAAACCAGACATGGTTCGATAGTGGTTGTAATATCGAACCCATATTAAAACGTTAGTCTCTCGTAATACGATCTCGAAGAGATCACTCAGTGAAGCGATGAACCGAGGATGTATATACACACCGGGTTACCAGTTCTTGTATAGAATGTCGATGCATAGCGTAATGGTCGCACCACCACCATACAGCGTAAGAACGTAATGTAGATGACGAGCATCGTCTGAAACATCGTCGTCCTTACATAACAATGGAACAAATATTACGCGTCAGAATGAGCACGTGATTTCTATTCAGTCCCGAATATTCGACATAATGGTGACCCTTTGCTACTCTATTTCTAAGTGCTCGGAGAAAGAGATTTCCTTATTTTTTCGATTTTCCTAGACTTTAAAGTCTTATAAGAGCGAATGTTCAACAGAATAAATACTCTAGAGACTCGGTTACGCTTTATGCTTGAAAGTGAATTTGATCCTAGTAGCGTATTCGGCTCATCGAACAAACTCAGTTTAATCTATCTACCTAATATTTGTGATTTTGCTTTTTCAATTTATAGATTGTTCAAACCTATTTCAGATAATTTATATATAACGACGTATTCGGAACAAGTGTTCGGAAATAGAATTTCTTTTTCTTGCAACTAAGTCACTACTGAGTTTACGTCGATAGAAGCAGAACCCTTCAATAAAAGAGGCTAGCAGTCATTTTTTGCTATAGAACATATGAATGAATACCATGAATCGAGTTACTTTCACAATATTAGAGTGCAGGATCTTCAGAATATTTCAAGACGCACAACCCTATGAACTCTACGAAGGTATAAGTTTAACGATGCGACTAGAAGCAGCTGGAGCAACGGCTCTTGACAGATTGTCACAACATGGATGAAAAATAAGGAAAGGAACGACATCGTTCTTCTTTCTTTTGCAAATAAAATCTCAAAACATGTTTTAAACGCCAAAATTTTACGTTTTGAAAAATTCACAAAAGAGAAAACTAATTTCTAGGAGTTTGGTGCTGTAGTGCGAATTGAATTCTTCACAACGAAGCGGCGGAACTACATGTAAAGATATGAAATCCTCCTAAGATCGACTTTCTATTACCATTGGGATTGGATTATAAATCGGTTGTTTTCTTTTTGCAGCAATCGCGAGATTGTTATTCAGCGCACCTTTACTCCCTTACAAATATAACACATACAACACAACGGTAGCCGACGTTT